ACAAATAATTTTTCCTCAAAATTTGGGAGGCATTACTCCATTATCCATTATCTTTTTTTTTCCCATCTCTTGAAAGGTTGATAATATTCTGCTTCTTAATTCTCTCCAGGTGTCCCAATTTTTTTCTTAAAGCTTCATTCTCCTTTTTTCCCCAGAAACCTTAATTTTGTGACATACTTGATTGGGTGACACTTCATTTAGGCTGATATATTGCTTTCAAAAAATGATATGTATCAGTGGATGAGAAAGCTCATTTTTGCCAACCCATGCCAAAACTCGTAAGACAAAATAAAGCAAAACAAACACAGTGACCGATATAATAAGTAAATTTAATAGCTTATTCTAACTCACATTTTCCTCCTTTTTAATGTATGTGAATGACCACCTTATTAGTTATTTATAATTCTCCTTTTATCTTTTGACTTTTAATACTTGGCCTATATTCCTCAAGCTGCTTTACTGACTTGTCTTACTGGTTTACAAAATCTCTTTATATATTAAGGATATAAATCCTTTGGCTTACTATCAATTGCTTACTTTTGGAGAAAGAGTAGCTTGCTTTTCTTTGGCTTGACTCCTAATATGTATCTGTTCAACAGTTGCTCTTTATCATTAATATACCCTTTTGTGTTCCTTTCCACAGGCAGATCCTTGCAGCAGCCAAAAGAGCTGACCAAGTGGGCCATTTTCTCTGGGTGGGATCAGACAGCTGGGGATCCAAAATAAACCCACTGCACCAGCATGAAGATATTGCAGAAGGAGCCATCACCATTCAGCCCAAGCGAGCGACTGTGGAAGGTACGAGTTTTGTCAGTGGTGGGACATGTCACGATCGTGGTTGGTGCGTTGTCGGATGTCTGGAGCATGAGTCTTTTTGAGGGTTTGGTGTTTTTACATAATTTATGCAGGATAGTTTCTAACTTGCAGCCATGAAATACAAATAGGGCCACATATCTAGACTGTTCTTTTAGTTGATATTCGTCTTTTGAACAGATCGTGTCATTTTCACAATAATTTCACAATTGGCATATATCCTTTGTTTTATTACCTGAGAAAAGATAACTACCATTAATAAGAGGCGAAATAGTAACATAATCCAAGCGTGTGTTAAGTGAGCTGCACCTTCGGAGAGAGGATTTTCCTTTTGTAATTTATGCATCACTTCCATAGCAGAGTAGGTACAGGGATTCTCTCCTCCTATCACCTCTCGGGGTCTCTTCCAGCCCCTAAGGTTATGTAGCATAACACCTCTCACAGGTGCCAGCGTCGCCTTGCCTTCCTGGGTCTCTTTTGTTCTTGCTTTCTTTCTCTCTTTCGCTTACCTTCCAGAATGGCTACCCCTTTTCTTCTCCTTTGCCTTCCTTGCTGCTATGAAGGTTCTTTGAGAGGTAGAAGGAGGAGAGGGCGTTTATTGGCATCCTTCTGATCTAACAAAAGTTGCTAATTACAATTTATGTTCTCCTTTAATTTGAAGAAAAAAGTTATTTCTAAAAGAAGAAACTGTAAAGAAAAGGCACTCCCCCTCTGGTGTCCAGCTTTGTGTTCCTTTTCTGATGGGGCCAGGTCTCCAAAGATTCCCTAAAACGTGTGGCACGTTAAAAAGAATGCTATCTTGTCACTCAAAAAAGAATCAATATTTGCATTTCTTTCTATTCTGTCTCTATGCCGGTCGAATTAATTATTCTCCCCAGCAGGCCGCATGGTCTTTGTGGACCTTTTAAACAAGCCAGGTTGTGGTTCTGTCACTGTTCCCTTTCTCTGTTATCTCGGGGAGATAAAGATCCCATGAATCACCCATGTGTTCATTGGGAGGCTTTGAATTAATTTCATTCCCCACTGCTTGTCCAGAGGAGAGTGCCTGTCTTACAACCCAGACCAATACATCTGCAGGTGAGCTGCAAGAATAAAAGACATTTTAACTATTTCCACTCCTTTCGCCTCAGAGCTGAGTAAAGAAAATAGCTGATGACTGTGGAACATGAGAAGCACTGAAAGCACAGTACAGACTAGATGGCTTGTGATGAGGTAATATGCAGGTTTCTCTAGGGTGGTGGCGCTGTGCTTGCGGAACACTCCTGAAAGGAGATGAAACAGGAGGTGATGAATCGGAGCTCATCAGATAGTGAGAAGAAGCCCCTCTAGTCCCAACCCAGGAGGTGGAAACAGACGTGTAAAGGAACAGGGCATGTTGGGTGCAAGTAACTCATCTGCAGCCCAGTCCATCCTGGTAGACATCCTAAAATTCTCCCAGCTCTTTCAAAGTGTCCCGTTTATAGACATTGGGAAAATCCTGTCTCCTAGAGTTGCTGTCACTGCACTGTTTGCCTGATTGACGCCTTTCTATCCTTTTGGATCTCTATTTAGACATTACTTTTCCTTGGAAGCCATTGCAAACATGTCACCCCAGCCAAGTCTGGTTAGGGGCTCCTTCTGTTCTTCTGCAGCATCCCACACCTCCCTACCATTGTTGTGCCTCTTTACTCGTCTCTATCTGGAATCCATTATGCATCCTTGCACCACCAGCTCCTAGGTTTTGGCCTGGATATGGCAGGATGCTTAAACAGGTTTTTAAATGGTTGGATGTCTGGATGGATGGGGAAATAACAGACCACAGAAGGGCCTGGCACCAAATATAGCTGAAAAGTGGGCCAGAGTTGGATGGTGAAGGGTCTTGAAAGTTACACTAAGGAATTCGTATTTTATTCTGAAAATCTTGACAGCATCTGAGGATTTAAATGGTAACAGGGAGTTAGAAGGCTCATTCAGATGACTTTATGGACAGGTGAAGTGTAAGATTTGGGCGAGAATCAAAGCAAAGCAACAAATCACAGTGTCTCTACTGAGGTCCTGTCTTCCTAAGCTGTAGACACCATATAGACATGTGAGCAACTCCATGGTTACTATCCCTAGGTTCAAGATATTTTTGGAAATTACTAAGTATCTAAAACATTTTATAAATGCTTGAAACAGAAGATTTTTTCATGAATATATAGGCATACACAGAGTTATTAAATTAGACACAAAACAGCATCCCGAATCTGCAAAAAATGATGATCTCAAAAACGAAGTGGAGGAAAAATGCTATTATCGATGAAAATACTATTGAAATGTGATAGAGAAGTAACTCTTCATGCCAAACTCCATTCTACCCAAGTAGAAAATGAGGATTTTCATTTGGCTCTTTAGAAATGATGTGGCTTCTGTCTGCTGTCATACTGTCTTGTGCATTGATACAAAGAGGAGCCAAGATATGTTCACCAACGTAGAGGAAGCAACCACAAGATTGTGGCTGCACATTCCTAAGGCAGTGAAAAAAGAAATGCATTTCACTGCATTAGAGTTTCTGAACAAAGCAATGAAATACCTCAAAATAAACTATAAATAGAACACTGAGCATCAGCTATATGGGCAAGTAAGTTTTCCTCTCCTGTCTAATTTTTTTCTTTTCTTTTTTCCTCTTTGGTGGATGTTCCATATTGTGTTCTACTGGGGTGCAACATCATCCAAACCCTAACAACGCTGCTACAGTCCTGTGTCTTTGACTGCGCTGTGTAATTCTCTGCCTTCAACTGTAAACAGGGAAAAAGCCGTTCAGTGATCAGCAGGCTTGTTTTCTTTAGATCCAGATTGAACATGTTCAGCCAACATCTACATTTTTGGCTTGTCTTCTCTGTATCTGCATGAACAATTAATAAGAATTTGCCTTCGGCTAAAGTGCTAGCAAGTGCATTGCCCCTGTGAAAGCAGTCTTCATCTACGTTTATCTTCTATCTTTGTTTATTCTCCACTTATAGGAAGCAGGGCCTCAGTGTTTGCTGGCCCAGCGTGTCATTTCCCCGCTTTCAATTTGATGGTGATAGGAACTGTGCCCAGGAAAGGTCGACAGTGGCCCCGCTGGCTGCCCAGCCTTCACGGGAGATCTCAGAACGTCTCCAGTCTTGGCAGCACTCCTCTAGCTCCTGAGCCAAAAGACTTCTGTAAATTTTAGTTTCTCTGCATTGTCTCATGAGCCAAGGGATCCCCGGCATTGTCCTCTCTCCTGTTGCCACATTAACAAGGACTCCCAGTCATTGTTTCTAGCCCCCAACAAGTCCTCAGAGCAAAGAACGTCCAAATCACATTCAACCCTTTGCCCTGCAAAGTGCTCTGCTTCTCTGGGAGTAGGCTGTCCTAGGCATCCTCTCCGTATAGCCAGCAAGGATCACGGGCCAGCGTATTTTCATCTCTGACATAATCGTTAACATTAGGGAGCGAGTATAATGACGGGTGCATTTTCAAAGCTGACTCAAATGGCCCTGACTATTGGTGATGATTCTCAAATGTCTATAGAGCAGCTTGGTTACCAAATTAAATCTGTGGGATGTGTAAGAAAAGACAAAAAGGGCTCTGGACCTGGCATTAAAATGTTGGTTATTTCATGCATTTTTACTCAAGACTGAAACAAAGTATTTTTATTAAAAAAAAATCAAAGCTATGAAGAGCTGAACTAGAATATTTCTGACTCCCATTTAGATACGCCCTACTTTAGTCTTCCTTGATTACCTGGAGTGTTCCACACATGTCACAAAGTTATGGCAGGGACACAGGAGAAAATGCCAAGAAATAAAATATTGCCTTAAACCACAATGCTATTTCTAAGCAATGCTATAATTAATAATAGGCCTATAATCTTGTTTAAGGAGAGAGAAATGGGAATAGTGCATGTTCAGTGTTATGGCAATTTTTTTCATTGAGTCCTTCACAAATATTCATAAGCTCTAGCTGGGAATCAGCCACTGATCTAAACACTGAGATACAGCAAGTGATAATCTCCATCGGGTCCCTGCTCTCCTGGAACTGCCCTCGTAATATGGAGGTGACAGGTGAGAAAGAAGAATATAAATAAGAAAATATCATATTAGGATAATTAAAGTGTATTTCCTTGAGAACCAGCTTGTAAATCATCGAGATACAAATGAAACAGAGAGGAGAGAGACAAGGTAACCAGTATACAATGCAGATAAAACAAACAAACAAAAAGGTTTGGAGGAGATGTATGCAGGTCAGTAGCTCAAATCTCTCTAGCCTGTTCTAGATTCCTGGCACATATTCATAGCAGATCCTTTCACGGCCTAAAATACACCAAGCTTTCCCATTTCCCTGTTTCAAATTGATAATTTGGATAATCTGGAAAATGTTGTGTTTTTCTGTTGGAGATCAAATCATTATTTTTTTTTAAAGACTTCTTGCTTTTTCTAGAGTTAGTCTACTCTACAAAACCAAACTCATTTCTCCTGCAATCCAAAAAGTACCACATCCCCTCTTTACAATAAGCACACATCATACTCACAGGTAGAATTCACATCTAAAATCTGACCCTTCAGGGCAGCACCTAGGACCCATGGGTTCTCTGGCATTATCCATCTTTTTTTCCTGAAACTTTGGCATTTGCTAAAAGGCCTTGCATATAGTAAGTCCTAAAAAAACAAATTTATCTTCTTTGTCTACTATATCTGAATTTATCTATAATACCCGAATGTGCAAAAGACTATCTATCTGTATAAATTTGAAGTTTTCTTAGGATGGGGGAAATATTCATCCTGAATGGATTTTCTCTCTGACTTTATATTCTGAGGTATTCAGTCAAATACACTTAGGTCTTTACTTCTGGATCTCACCAGAAATTTCAAAGATGGATTTGCAGACTTTCCCTTTTGCTTTCCTTAAGAGTATCTCTTGCCTTCTTTGTTCCTCTCCATTGGAGAGACTTCCCATGCAGGCCTGGCAGGATGGCTCAATTAGGTGATTTGTTGAGATGT